GAATTAAGTGTAACAGTGAAACTATAAAACTGGAAGAAAGCCGGGCTCGGTGGCTCAGCCTGTAATCCCACGCCTTTGGGAGGCTGAGGTGAGTGGATTGCCTGAGCTCGCGGGTTCGAAACCCGCCTGGGCAGCGAGACCTCATCTCTACAATAAATCAAAAAGTCAGCCGGGCGTGGTAGCGCATGCCTGTAATTCCGGCTACTTGGAAGGCTGAGGCGGAAGGATCGCCGGAGCCCAGCAGGTCGAGGCTGCGGTGGCCGGGAGCAGCCACTGCACTCCAGTCTGGGTGACAGAGTGAGACTCCAACTCAAAAAAAAAAACTGGAAGAAAATGTAGGTGAATGTTTAACTGATTGGGAGTGGAAGGACTTCATAAGCATAACAGCAGTAGACAAAAGTTATAGTGGCATAATCATTGCTATGTAGAAGCCAAATTTCTGGAATTCAAACATCAGGCAAAATTTAGAAAGCTGGTGGATAACTGGCCAAAAATATTTGCAGCATATATCATAAATTAATATTTTTTTGTCTTATTTTTGAGTTGGAGTCTCACTCCCTCACCCAGGCTGGAGTGCAGTGGCATGCTCACAGCCACCCCAGCGCTAACCTGCCGGGCTCCAGCGATTCTTCCGCCTCGGCCTTTCAAGTAGCTGGAACTACAGACGCGCACTACCACGCCCAGCTAATTTTTGATTTGTTGTAGAGAGAAGGTCTAGCCCGGGCTGGTAACCCGCCGGCTCAGGCAATCCACTCTTCTCAGCCTCCCAAAGTGCTGGGATTACAGGCTGAGGAACCAAGCCCAGCCTAATAATTTTAATATTGGACATATTGGTGAAAAATGCCAAAATCATATTAGAAAAGAACATGAAAAAAATCTCCAAAAAGAAAATACAAAATATTACATCTTACTGATAATCAAATACAATAATATACTAATTTTTACTTATCAAACATGTACATGTACATGTATTATATATACAATCTCACTGCATATATAATGTATATGTGTGTGTGTGTGTGTATTTTAGAGCCAGGGTCTCACTCTGTCATCCAGGCTTGAGTGCAGTGGTGCAATCATAGCTCACTGCACTCTCGAATTCCTGGGCTCAAGTGATCCTCCTGCCTCAGCCTCCCAAGTAGCTGGCACTCCAGGCACATGCTACCATGCCTGACTAATTTTTAAATTTTTTTGGTAGAAATGGGGTCTTGCATTGTTGCTCAGGCTGGTCTTGAACTCCTGGTCACAAATAGTTCTCCCCGCCTTAGCCTCCCAAAGCACCGGAATTACAGGCTTGAGCCACTACGCTTGGCCTCAACTTGGCAAATGTTTTTTTAAAAATGATAACAATTGATGGCAAAGATTATTTACAGTCTCACATGCTACTAGTGAGAAAGATATTTTGGAAAGTATGTTGTTAGGATGTTTTATAAACAAAAAAGATGTTCTTTTTTTAACCTAGTGCTCTCCCCTATCAAGGAAATGATAAAAAATGTGGACAAAAAATGCTGATTGCAATCTTATTTGTAATAATGAAAAAAAAAACCCATGTGCCATAATCTAAACACTCCAAAATAGAAGATTGGAAATATAAATAGTTGCATATATACCCAATAGAATATTATGCAACCATAAAATAATCATGTTCAGGTCATGGGAAAATATGATATAGTAAGTGAAAAAAATGAAGACAGTAAATTGTACATATAATTTGATCCAAGGTTAAAAATATACATAGGAAGGGTACTATATGGAAATGCAGCAAAATGTTACTTAATAGTCGATATCTCTCATTGATTGACCAAATTAAGGGTTTTTTGGTTTACTCTTTTTATTTTTGTTGCTTTTGAATTGGGAAGATAGTCATTATTAAATAAATGCTAATTTTAAAAAAGATATTTGTTGTATATCAAATTTTTTAAATTACAGCATTTGTTATTGGCAAGGGCATAGTGAAACAAGCACTTTAAATAACTGCCTAGAATAAAAACTGACTATATGCAGAAAAAAAATAATGTTTTAAGAAAAAATTATCAGCTGGGCTCGGTGGCTCAGCCTGTAATCCCGCGCCTTTGGGAGGCTGAGGTGAGTGGATTGCCTGAGCCCGCGGGTTCGAGACCTGCCTGGGCAGCGAGACCTCATCTCTACAATAAATCAAAAATCAACCGGGCGTGGTAGCGCATGCCTATAATTCCGGCTACTCGGAAGGCTGAGGCGGAAGGATCGCCGGAGCCCAGCAGGTCGAGGCTGCGGTGGCCCGGAGCGGCCACTGCACTCCAGTCTGGGTGACAGAGTGAGACTCCAACTTAAAAAAAAAGAAAGAAAAGAAAAAGAAAAAATTATCAATGTATTGGCTGTCTGCTATGGTCTTGCTCTTTAGTGAGAGGCTGTGCTAAATCTCATGCCTTATCAGATATTAACTGAAAAGTTCTAGTCTCATTTAGATTGTTACAAAAGTGTGCCTTTTCTCCAGGTGATAGTACCATGTAGTTTAAATGGTGGTTAAAAAGTCAACAAGAATAAAGGAAAAAAAAAAAGGCTGAGAATATAGACCCTATCTGAAGGATTAGAAACCTCTAGAATGCTATTCAATTTTCTGCTATTTATTCTGCAGTTGTGATTATATTTTTGCATATCTGTTTCGTCTTCCAGTCATTTAGCCCATTTCCTTTTCTGGGGGGAAGGGTAGGACATAGTATGGTAGAGTATTGGGATCACTAATTGGTTTTATTTTGTCACTATTATCACTACCGATTAAATTTTAGAGTTGTAAGACCTTCGCAGTCCTCATCTACTCAGAAAAGAATGCTTTCTACTCTATCTCTAACAAATAAATGTTTATTTGAATATTCCCAATTACAGCAAGATCACATTTTCACAGTCCTCTTATTTCTAAGACAGCAATACTAATTTTTTTATACATTCTTTTACAATTTGTGAATTCATTCTGTACTCTTGGCTTGTCAGATTGTCTTCTTGGTAACTGCCTTTCAAATTCAGTTTGTTTATTTAGTAGGACATTTAGTAGATTATATTATGAACAATAAAATTATGAACTTTAGTCTTATGCATGTCTAGTAGTGGTTTTTATTCAGTTAAGTATGTTTCATAGGAAGCATGAGGACCACTTTTCTCTTAAGGGACTAAATATAATTTTTTTCTTCTTCATAACCAGTCATGTAAGAGTAAGAGGGAAAAGGGCTAATTATATGTTTCTCTGTAATTTTAAAATAAATCCATTCATTTGAAGTTACCAATAAATTGAAACTATATAAGCAAACTAGATAAAAAGGGGAAAACTGATGAGTATATCAGAAAACATTAAAACTTACCAGGAATCAAAGGAAAGTAATCTAAAATTTTATGAAAAAAATTTCATAAAAATTTTCATATTTTTCACTCATAAATTGGGAGTGATCATTCCTAGTGCTGGTGAGTAAAATTTTAGTGTGAAATTAGTACATGCTTATATTATCAGTAATATAAACTTAAAGAAAGTTAAAAGAACTTTGACATTATGTATCAAGAACTTCAAAACTATTCATGGTCTTTAGACCTGTATTCAACTTCTTGGGTTATATGTTAATGAGATAATACTAAATTTGGAAAATATTGTTTTCATGAAGATGTTTGCAGTAGTATTATTTAAATTAGCAAAATACAATACTTGAACACAGAGTCTATTAATGTCTTTAAATTACATATTAAAATTTTGTACATACATTTTTTTCCCGAAGGTCCTGGACTATAGCTGTATGAGATGTTTAAAAGGGTCCTTGATCTTTGAGATATTAGTGAACCATAGTTTTTTATCATTTGCTCTTAGCATACCTACTATTTATATAAAAGATGTCCTTAAAAGGGGATGTGATGGAGAAAAGACTAGAAGAAAATATTGTAAAATGTTCTTTGGGTAGTAGGAGTATGGGTATTCTTATTCTCTCTGATTTTCTATATTTTTCAGATATTTTGTGAGTGTATACTACTTTTACAGTATTAATAAAAATTACCAAAAATGTGAACTTATTAACTTGCATTGTAGAATCACAGGGAAACCTCTGCAAAAAAAGTGAGACATATTAGAAGGAATATGCAATAGTCAGAAAATAGTCAACCTTTTTATTCAACTCTGAATTTTTTATTACCAATGGTTTTTCCCCAATTTCATGCCCTCACCAGGCCCATGGGCCCAGGTAGTGGAAGGAGTTCAGGCTCCGGAGTAATATAAACCTGGATTCTGATCAACAGCCAACCACTCTATTGAGTGGCTCAGGCACATTAACTTCTCTGAGCCTCAGTTTCTTCATGGGGATTATAATGCTCAGTTTTGTGGGCTACTGTGGTAATTAAATGAGATAATAAATATAAAGTATCTAACAGTCCAGAACTCATTAAATAGTAGCTATAATTGTGAGTGTTTTTTTGCATTTGTAATAGAAAGTAGTACATGTAATGACTGGGATGTGTAGAAAAATTATACACATTCGCAATTATTGCACAAAATGAAGAGTGCTTCCTATTTACCTTCCACTTTCAAGTAGCTTCATTGCTATCAGTGTGACAAGGCTTGCCATAGAGGTGGAGTTTTTAAAGCTTTTCTCATGTGTTTTTGCTCTGCCTATTTTTGTTTTTCCAGTATATTCTTCTTCTAACATCCTTGTTTTTATTCTTGTCCTGCATGATTCTTGTAAAAAATTAAACACTTTTCCCTAAGGTATTTCTCTAGATATTCTCACTTCTTTGTTAGAAAAACAGAGCTCTAATTATATGAATGTTACCCACTGAAGATTTTGTCTGTTATGGTTTCATAGCATTTATTAATTAGATTAAATTTGAAAGTTTTAAAGAAAAATTTAGTTCAAGCAAAATGTTTAACATATTCCTTAAAATAATACTTAAATTATTTGTATCTTCCTATTTTTTCATTTTATCCTTCAGGTAAATATATTTTTTGAAGTCGCAAATAATAACTTCTGGACATTTATATAAATATTTTTCAGAAACTAATGGAACGAATTCAGAATCCTGAGTATTCAACAACTATGGATGTTGCACCTGTGATTTTAGCTGCTCATCGTAACAACTATGAAATTCTTACAATGCTCTTAAAACAGGACGTATCTCTACCCAAGCCTCATGCGGTTGGCTGTGAATGCACATTGTGTTCTGCAAAAAACAAAAAGGATAGCCTGCGACATTCCAGGTTAGAACATTAAGATTTTGAGAAATAGGTGTATGATGTATTAAGGTACATATCAGCAATGTTGGTTTCTTTTTTTTTTTTTTTTTTGAATTGATGTTCTTTCTATACCGATTTTAAGAAATATGCCAGGGTGACACAAACTTTTAACTCCTTTGCTTACAAAAAGTTCTTCATTTTTTAGGAATGTTTGCCAAATGCTGAACAATTAGGAAAACCTTTCAAATTATGAATGAAGTTTATCTCTTACTTCTACTGGCAGGGCAGTATTGACTTTTTAGTGGTAAAGTTTATTAATAATCCAAGTTGTGGAAGGGGTGGGTACTACCTTGTTTTTTGTTTGTTTGTTTTTTAGTTGAGGTCTCACTCTGTCACCCAGGCAGGAGTACAGGGGCTTGATCACGGCTCACCACAGTCTCTACCTTCTGGTCTCAGGAGATGCTTCTACTTCAGCTTCCCAAGTTGCTGGGACTACAGGCATGCACCACGATGCCCAGCTAAATGTTTTAAAATTTTCTGTGGAAACAAGATCTTGCTGTGTTGCCTATGCTGGTGTCGAACTACTGGGTTCAAGTTAATCCTCTTGCGTGGGCCTTCTGTATGGATTTTGCAGGTCAACCTGGGCCTCGAGAGTGTCAGCTCAATGAATTGGCCAGCCGAGCCCCAGAGAGGATCAGCTCGAGGGGCTGGTAAGTGTAGTGCCAGAAGTGTTGGCTCTAATAGTCTGGCAAGTCAAGCCCTGAGAGTGTTGCTGGTTTGCTGGGCTGGCAAACCTAGCCCCTGGAGTGTTGGCTCTGATGGGCTGGCAAGCCAGGCCCTAAGAGTGTTGCTGGTTCCGTCAGCTGGCAAGTCTAGCCCCCAAAGTATCTTAGCTTCAGAGTCTTGCCTTCTTTCAGCAGCTCTCCTGGTTCAGCCCCCTACCTCAGCTGGCAAGCCAGCCTCTGGCACACAGCTTTTTGGCTCTGACAATCTTCTGCAGCTCTTCAGGTTGAGGTTTTTGTCTCATGCCCAGAAAGAACGAGGGACATGGACAACTGGAAAGTGAGAAAGCAGGATTTACTGAGGACAGAAAAGCTCCCACAGTGGTATGGGACCCTAAGGAATTGTTGATTTAGGGCTGAAACCTGATGCTTATATATCCCTAAGACTGAGCCAATTGGCTAGTACTAGCTGTGAGCTGATTGGTCAGCACTAGCTGTTTTGATTGATTAATACTAAGGACCAATTGCCAGCAGGTAGGGGCTTAATGATGAACTGATTGGTCAGTACTTGGCAGCAAGCTGGTTGGTTGTTTTTAAATCCCAGCAGTGAGTACTTAAGCTCTAGCTTGCGAGGCTGGCAGGGAGCTTGTTTACCAATGCCGAGCCTGAGAGGTATGCTGGAAGTTTGCTACACTGTTGCTGGAGGACCTTCCCTGTCTGACTAGCCTTTCTCTAGCTATCTCCTTCCTGACTCCCAAAGTGCTGGGATTATAGGCATGAACTACCATCTCCAGCCTCATCTCCTATCTTATTTATAAAGAAATCAAAACTATGTTCTAACTAAATATTTAACCTGTTATGCTTCTAACTTCCCCTTTCACACTATTTTCATGTATTTATCTCTTCTTTATTTAACATCTCCCTCCCATTTTCCTAGTTGAGAATTGTTAACAACTGAGGAGTGGTTGACCAAGAAAATACCATTTTTTGCCAAGGTTAAGCAAAGTCACACACATGGGCATTTTTTATAAGATATAGGTTCTGGGCTAGATTTGAGAACCTGAGTTTTAGTAGAAACCTGTATGTAAATAGTCATGCACCAGGTATCGACGTCTTGGATATCAATGGTCCACATATATGACAGTGGTCCCATAAGATTATAATGGAGCTGAAAAATCCCTATTGCCTAGTGTTGTCATAGCCATGGTAACTTCATAGAGTAACACACACACTATTCAGTGTTTGTGGTGATGGTAGTGTAAACAAATCTATGCTGCCAGTTACATAAAAATCTAGCACATAGAACTATGTACAGTACATAATACTTGATAATAAATGGCTGTGTTACAGGTTTATGTGTTTACTATACTATACTTTTTATTGTTATATTTCAGTATATTTCTTCTACTTATTAAAAAATAGTTAACTGTAAAGTAGCTTCAGATAAGTCCTTCAGGAGGCATTCCACAGGAAAGTATTGTTATCATATTAGATGCCAGCTCCACGTGTATTATTACTCCTGAAGACCTCCCAGTGGAATAAGATGTGGAAGTGGAAGACTGTGATATTGATAATCTTGACCCATAGGCCTAGGCTATGTGTCTTAACTTTTTTTTTTTTTTTTTTTGAGTTGGAGTCTCACTCTGTGGTCCAGACTGGAGTGCAGTGGCCGCTCCCGGCCACCACAGCCTCGACCTGCTGGGCTCCGGCGATCCTTCCGCCTCAGCCTTCTGTATAGCTAGAATTACAGGCATGCGCTACCATGCCCGGCTGATTTTTTTGATTTATTGTAGAGATGAGGTCTCGCTGCCCAGGCGGGTCTCGAACCTGCGGGCTCAGGCAATCCACTCACCTCAGCTTCCCAAAGGTGCGGGATTACAGGCTGAGCCACCGAGCCCGGCTTAACTTTTAATAAAATAGTTTAAAAGTTTAAAAAAATAGCAGTAGAAAAAGCTTGTAGAATAAAGGTACAAAGCTATATATGATGTGTTTGCATTTTAAGCTAAGTGTTATTACAAAAGAGTAAAAAATTTTTAAAAATTAAAAAGCTTATAAAATCAAAAATTTGCAGTAAGCTAAGGTTAACTTATTATTGAAGAAATAAAAATATTTTTATATAAATTTATTGTGGTCTAAGTGTACTAGGTTTGTAAAGTTTACAGTAGCATACAGTAATGTCCTAGACCTTCACATTGACTAACTACCCACTCACTGACTCACCCAGAGCAACCTCCAGTCCTGCAAGCTCCACTGATGATAAGTGCCCTATAAAGGTTTATCATTTTTTATATTTTATGCTGTATTTTTTCTATGTTTAGTACAAACACTATTGTGTTACAGTTGCCTACAGTGCTGTACATGTTTGTAGTCAAGGAGCAATAAGCAATACCATATACCCTAGTAGTGTAGTAGGTTGTGCCATCTAGGTTTGTGTAAGTCCACTTAATGATATTTACATAAAGAGAAAACTGCCTAGCACATTTCTCAGAATGTGTCCCTTTCATTAAGTAACATATGACTGTGTGTGTATATGTGTATGTGTGTGTATATGTAAAAGGTAATTAAATATTGTTGAAATAGTATCAAATATAATTTCTACTATGAAAAATTTGATCTGGAAGTCCAAGGCAAACTATTTTTAAGTTAAGCATTATTGTGTAGTATATAGAGTAAGCTTTAAAGCTATAAATCATCTACTTTCACTCCTTCCTCACCTTGAGAACAGACCTTTGGTAGATTTGAGTTAGCTACAAATTGGGAAAGTCTCCTGAGAATTAATTTAATGCTTATTTGAAGTTCAACTGGAAATTTTTTCTATTTTCAAATCTATTTTCAAAGATAACTGTGTTTTTCTCTGGTAAGATCTAGTTAGTAACTATGCTCCTATCATTTAACATTTTAGTTTTAAAATGACTAAGCTATAAAATGGCAAGCAGAGCCGGGCTCGGTGGCTCAGCCTGTAATCCCGCGCGTTTGGGAGGCTGAGGTGAGTAGATTGCCTGAGCCCGCATGTTCGAGACCCACCTGGGCAGCGAGACCTCACCTCTACAATAAATCAAAAAAATCAGCTGGGCGTGGTAGCGCATGCCTGTAATTCCGGCTACTTGGAAGGCTGAGGCGGAAGGATCGCCGGAGCCCAGCAGGTCGAGGCTGCGGTGGCCCAGAGCGGCCACTGCACTCCAGTGTGGGCGACCAAGTGAGACTCCAACTCTTAAAAAAAAAAAATGGCAAGCAGAAATTATCACTAACATCTCTCCTAGTTTTAAAATCTTTTGTTAATATTGAATGTAATATTTCCCAAATTATATGCTTATTAAATATGTGTATAGTTGAAACAGCTGGAGGGTAAGAGATTGGGGCTGGGAAAAAACCACTTAGAACCTGACTTGATTTTAGGTTGGGAAAAAAGTTTGTTCTGAAAGCTTTTAGTGGAGGTATGTATGACTTGAGATAGATCTTTAAGTATGAGTAAGAATTAAAAAGTAAAGGTATTTTAGGCAGAAAGTACAGCATGTGATTGTGGGTTTTTTTGGAAGCTGCAAATGATTTGGAATGTTGACAGAGTTTGAGGGCGTTTGTTACTCATCTGTGAGAACATAGTTATAACAAATGGCAAAGGACTCCAAGTAAAGCAATTTCTGGGAATTGCTAAGTAGAACTGGAGAAGGAAAGGAGGCTAACAAAATGAGTGAAAAGAGAAATGGGAAGGTTTCTCTGAATTTGAAGAGCCAGTATATTGCAATAAGAAAGTGAGATAATCTGTATTTATAAGATATTGCTTTTTAAACTTCAGAGATGGTGTAGTTCAAGTGATGATAAGGTCTAAGGATGTTATTTCCAAATGGGTTGGTGAAGGGTAATAGACTGTTACAGTTTAGAAAATCATTTTCAGTAATAAAATTGCTATGACTTGATTTTAGGTGCAATATTTGATGTATTTTAAAATTTCAAATAACTTTAAAGGAAGGTATGAAATATTTTATTATGTTTTAGTGGAAGACAAAATTTTTAAAAACTTGAAAAACTAGAATCGATGGAGATAACAAAATAATGAACTACCACTTACATTTAATTTTCAGAAGAGCTTTGTTAAACTTACACAGTGGTTTTTATAATTTTGAATTTGAATGCTAGTAAACCCTATGTACACTCAGCTTTACTCATATTATTAGCCACTTTACCCCTGAGGGCAAATGAATTGGTAAACCTTGGCTAGATATCTACAAAGAGAGTAAGATATTAGCTATAGTAATCTTATGAATATGAAATTAAGACTTCTGCATAGTGGCAGGAAAATTGGTTGAGAGAAAGAGTGCTTGGTGCCACAAGTCCTCAATAACTATATGAGTTACATAGAAGTAGATGAATGACAGTGATGATGATGAGAGAGTGATGGAATAACTGGACAGTATGAATCTCCAAAAAGAGTGATTTTGCTATCAGAACGGAGAAATAGCCTGTAAGATTTAGGTATTATGACATGATGCTTCTATATTCCCAGAATCTCTAAAGGGAAATATTGTTTGTTCTTATAAAATTTTAAAGTGATTATATATACATATTGAGTTATATACATACATATACATATTGATAACTTGACTGTATAATAATTATATTTAAATTTTTTTCCAAAGACAAAAATTACCTCTTCATGCTTGCCTTATATAAATGAGAACTTTGCTTCCGGAATTTCTTTCTTTTTATTAAAAAGTATTCATTTTACTTACACAAGTAATATGTGAATAAATCCTTAAATCTTTGTTAAAATTCTAGCTTTATTATTGAGCAGAAGTCCCTTAACCAATCCCAATTTTTCTCTCCTCTCTACAGCTAATCACTGTTAGTAGTTTGGTATTCTGTATCTGTTCCCTAATGGTTAATATTATCATTGGTTAGAAATGTGACTCTTAATTGCAATGTTAGATTGGAAACTAGGGTCACATCAATGGTGTCAAGTTATATGTTTAAAATCCCCTGCCTGTACAGAGTC